TATATATATATATATATATATATACGTATATATATATATATATATATGTATATATATATATATATATTTCGTGTACATTATTTAACTATACGTGTATTAAAGTTTAAATGTTAATGCAACAAAAGAAAACAAACACAAATATATATATAAACAAAATCCAAATGAATCAAAAATGCGTAAATGAAGCTGAAGAGAGCTGGCAGTAGGAGAAGAGCAAATTGGTTATATATACATATACACAAGTGAAGAATGAAGAAAGATACCAAAATAAAAAAAAAAAGTAAATAAATAAATAAATATGAAAAAAATGCAGACATTAATTATATATAGTAAATATATACATATAACAAATAAATATACAATTAAAAATTGGCATAGGTTTTATTGCAATGATAATGCGGATAATATGAATACGAATGCGAATATCTGATGACCGATTATCATTCGACTCGATATGAAAGCTAACTAAAGACGCCGAAGGTCTACGAATGTATAAATGATATTTAATTATATATAAACAATATATATATATAAACTCATATATGTATACAAAACATTAAAATGCAAGAAAGAGCAGGAAAACATTTACAAACTAATACAATGAAGGTATAACATTTACATAACAAAAAGACTTGACTTGATTATACTTATTATGATTGATAGTTGAGGTTTATATAATTTATTACAAAACAATTATGCATTTGATTTACAATTATTACTATACAGAGCTTTTCTACATTCGAGAGATTTTGTATATATATCCTTTATGCATTTTCCATATATTAGTTTGGATATTTCTTTCTCTTTTCAGTTGTGAGCTATAGCTTAAGATTTTTCTTATGTGTATGTAGAAATCATTTCAGAATCATTTTGTATATTTATTACTGTATTCTATATTCAGTATTCAATTTTTAGCTCACCTTTTTGTTTTTCTCGCATATGTGAAACAGTTCTCATGGAAATGGCAGCTATTTGTAGTTAAGAAAATTTATTTAAATCAAGTATATTTAACTAACAATGGACTTATAAATATATAACGAAACAAAACACTTTACCCTTATGCAAAAAAAGAAAAGAAAAAAAAAAAAACAAAAAAAAAAAAAAAAATATTAAATACTTTAGTTAAAGGCCTGTAAAAACGCTATAAACTATATTAAAATCAAAAGAAAATATATTTATTTCATACTGACGTTGCTTTGATTTGATTTCGCTGATTTCTGTTCCTCGGCTAAGATGAACGCAAATACAACCGTTGACTGTGCTGAAGCTAAATGGCAAGAAACTATAAGAATATAATATTATTAACCATTATCGTTAAAATGCATACAGAGTTCCAACAAGCAATCAATTAAGAAAACAATCAGCAAATTTTTAAACAGGCGGAAAGCAGTAAAAAAAAGTAAATTAAACAAAAAAAAGTTAAAATAAAAAGACAAAACAAAATGTTGAAACGGTTGTGTATGCGACATGGCAAAACAAGTTAAAAACCAACAAAAAAAATTAAACAATTAAAAATAAATGAATTAATTTGTAAAAATTTCAAGGCAAAAACTTAAAAGCTTGTTAACGTCTTTTTGAAAGCTATTAAATGGTTTTTATTTTTTGTCCTTTTATTTTCGAAATACTTCAATGCCAACTTTTATGTAAGCATTAAGCATAAAACTAACAAGAAAAAAAAAGGAAACAAAATCAGTTTTATTTACGAAAATAACATATGAAATTGCGAGCAATAAAATTTCATATCTTATACACAGTACGTATAAAATGCAAAGTAATTATAAACAATTAATGAAATCTTTATGGATAAATTTTGGATTTATTATTTCCTATTATGTGCTGATACACAGCTCAAATGCGCAAAGAAATGCAATTTACAATTAAACAAAAAACCAAAAATAATTAAAAATAAATGGCAAATTAAGTTCCCCAGTCTGTAGACCCCAGTCTGAGCTCTGTGTCCCTGAGATGGCGACGATCTTCGTTAAAAATATATGATATACTAAAAGCCGATGTTTTCAATATAGATCATAAATATCGAGTATTCTTGTGTGCTTATCGTTTCACTCTTGTTTGATCAATTGACATTTTCGTTTCTATTAATAACTGCAAAATAACCCACCTTTAAATATAAAAGATAATATTAATAACAAATGATATAATCGATTTCTATACCGGTTAATAACTCTACATAAATGTTGCTTACTACCAGAAAACAAAAAGAAAACCAAATTCGAATTAAATGTTTAACATAGTAAATTAAAATAAAAATGAATTAAAGTATATTCATATATATATTAATTATATATATATATATGGATATTATCCTGGCAAACATTATGCACAAAGAAAAATCCTTTACCATAAATTAAAGAAGAAGCACACTGAGTAAACTCCGAATAAAGCAAAAACCAAACACAAATCAAAGTAAACCAAATGTAAGGCGACAGATGGAAATTTTAAAGACATTTTTGAATGAGAATTGCAATGAAAAGAAAGAAAAGAAAACCAAAAACAAAATGGAAAATATACATATATACATCTATTTTTGGCCTATTTTTCTATAACCGAAACAAAAACGAAAACGAAAACAACTTTTTAAACTGCAACAAAAGCGAAAGCAAAAACAAAAAAATCAAATGAAAACTTTTATAATACGAAATAGAGCAACATAAATATCTATCGTTAGTTTGGTGTGCGTTAATGTAAATACACATAAGTTAATTAATTCATTTTGATATCTATCTATATACATTTTTGTTATTTTCATCAACCTTTTTTTTTTTAGCTGTTTTCGAACCTAACGAAGATCGTTTCAATATATATGTATATGTATATTAATTTTTTGATTTCCTTCACTTGAATCGAAGCGGCAACCAAATTGTGTGTACAAATTTGTATATAAATGTTATTAACTAAATATCAATGAAAAACAATTATTATTTTTTAATAATTTGAATGAATTTCGCGACAAGTATTTGACATTTAATTTATTTTAGTACAACATATTAAATATATTTAATTTAAGAATAGCGAAAATAAAATAAAAAATTAAACAAAAAAAAAACTTAGCAAAAACCCAAAGAAAAAAAGTAAATAGTTTCTTAAAACATAAAACAAGCAAATATAACAAATAATTGTTAAATGTTTAAAGTAAAACACATATACAAGTGCATAAGCAAAATACATACAAACACACTCACACACACACACATATACACATATACAGTAAAAATTATATACACATACCGTTTAAGTATATAGAAGACACTCATGCCACACAGTCAGTCAATAATGAGAAGCATAAATGAAATAAAATAACACTAATTGTATTTATTTGTATTTGTATATTGAAAAAAAAAAGAAAAATGAAAAAAAAAACGAAAATTAAATTTAACTATTAATGTAGCAAATGGTCTCAATGCAATGCCATTCGCACAATTTTTTAACAACTATTGAGGAATGCAAATGAAAATGAAAACGAAACAACAAAAATAACAAAGATCATTTCAAACTCTTATTTCGAACTATTTATACTTTGTATGTATTTGTATTTGCTGTACATAAGTTTAGCCTGCCTCTGTCTCTCTTCTTCTTTAACCCTCTCTCTTTCTATCTGTTGAAGTTTTTCATTTGTAAAAGAAACACGTTGACGATTATTATGATAACCATGATGATGATGATGATGACGATGATGATGTGTAATGTGCGCATTTTTTGCGGCCATTTTTTTTAATATAATTATAATTCCATTATAATTTACTGTTTACATATTAAAAAGTATATATATACATATATATATTAATTAATTATATATACGAATATTATAATATACAGAAAACAAACAACAACAAAAACAACAAAAAACTATACATGAAGAAGAAGAAAACAAATACACAACTTAATATACACTGAAAACAAAACAAAACCAATGCATTTCTAATTTCATATAGATTACCTATCTCTCTCCCTCTCTGGCTCTCTCACTCTCCCCTTCTCTCTGTGGACACTTTTCTCTTCTCCCCACAACAGATGAGTTTCTGTTTTTCAAACGTTGCCAACAATTCGATTCGTCTCTTCTCTTTTGTTAATTACACTTTGTTTGCCAGAGAATATGCACAGAATTCCAGTTAAAATCAAGTTTTTAATTACTTTTTCAACAGTTTTTAATAGTTTCCATTTGCATTCATTCGAGTTATTTGAGAATTCTTTTCCATTTTCTCTCTCAATCTCCCTCTCTCGTTATTTCTCTGAAAGACCTAACCAAAACCTTTCCACTACAACAACAACAACAGAAGCAACAACAACAACACAAGCAGCACAAAGCAGAGCATATGGCGAGAGCTGTAGCAGACTCCACACACACACACCCAACCACACTCACATGCAAACAGTAAGTTTTCACTAATATGAACCTTAACAATAATACTCTATAATATTCACTCACACATACTTAATTTGTACGCTTTCATCAGTTCTGTTTAATTTTCGGCTGCCTGACATAATTCCAGAACCCAAACGTGAAAAGCAGAACTTTACAATGGAGTTCGGCTTTGAAGTAGCACTTAAGCATTTTAGCCA